AATTGTCTCTGTTCACCTGCCAAGGGGGCTGTGCCAGGGTCCCACGGGGATGGGGCAGAAGTGCAGAGCAGATGTGCAAGCCAGGGGAAGTCAGCCAGGAGTGAGAAGCAGCTCTTCTCTTTCTTCCCAGCCAGGGCTCTGGGCTGTGGGGAGACAGCACCACAAGTGCAGGGCACTGAGCACTCAGGGCTTGCCTCTGAGGAAGCCCAAGGTCTGTGCAGAGCTGGCAGATCTGAAATAAGGGGATTTCACAGAGTGCTAAGGAGACAAAACCCCTGTTCCAACACACCCGTGCAAGGAGGAGCCCTGGCTGGGCTCAGTGCCTGGCTCAGGTTCCAGGATCATCAGTGAGCAATGCAGCCTGGATGTGCTCCCACTTGGAGAGCACAGAGGTTGCCCTTTGGTGGCCCTCAGTACCCTTTTGGCACCCTTTGCCTCGGGTGGTTGCCAGGCAGAGAGCAGCCAGGGCAGCTCCAGGGCCACACAGGGCATTGCTGCAGCACATCCCAGCCCTGCCTGCATGCTGAGTGTGACACTGGAGGCACCATGGCATCTGCAGCACCTGCCCAAAACAGGCCAGATATTGCTAAGAATACGTTTTCATAGGTCAGCACATGGGTTGCAGGGCTACCAGCATCATTCCCGTGTTTCATCTGGAGACCTGAGGCCTCTGGGACATGCCAGGGTGGATCTGGTTGGCTTTGGCAAAGGCAAGGGAGCTGCTCCAGCAGCACTTTTGAGAGAGGACTCTTGCCTGGGGTGGGAGGCCTTCAGTGTCCCATCATTCCTCTTCTTTCCTCCTTCATGGACCGATTGCACCAGAACTGCCAATCTTGCCCAAAGTGTGCCCTCTCCCCATCTGCTGTGCTGGCTTGCTGGCATCACACTGTTCCTCTGCAGCCTTTCTGAGCAGCAGCAGCAGCACCTATCTCCATGCTCTCTGTCAAAATCAGCACGAGGGCAAAGGGAAAAACAGAGTTCAGACTAAGGTACCAAAGAATTAACACTTTTCTAGGTTTACAGTTGTATTTGTAGGATTTGTACTATGTCACACTTATAGCCATGAGATATTATTTTTATGCTGTAAACTTTTACAAATAAGTTTTTAAAGAAAGAGTTTAAAAATAAAGGTGTTTTTCATTTTGCAAAGTCCCATCTCTTCCTTTATTTGCCTGCTTTTGGTTGCTCCCACTCAGATGGGGCTGGGAACACAGCTTAACCCTGTGGTGGGTGAAAGCTAAGCATGTTAATACCCTGTGCATGACCCCAGTGCTTAGTGAAAGCCCTGGGAGCCAGGCAGGGAGAAGCACTGCAGGGAGCAGCTGAGCCCAGAGACAGGGTAAGGAAAAGGGGCAGGATCTGCCCCATCTCTGGTGGCTGTGCTGCTTGTGGGTCATGGGGGTGGAGAGAAGGATAGCAGGAATCATTCCCATATGTACCCCCATTGGCTCGGCCCCTTGGAGCATTGCTGGGTCTGTGCTCAGATCAGGGTGGGCGTGCAGGAGAAATGACAAACTGAGCAGTGGCTGGGCTGAAGGAGATGCAGATACCACAGCACTGATTTTGCCACCTAGTTTGATAGGTCAGGGCAGTGGGAGGGCCTGGAGACAGCAACAGGGCAGGGCACCACCCTGCAGCACACAGGGCTCCCTGCCCAGCTCTTCTCCCTTCCCTCTAGCATGAGGAATTCGCTGATGCCCTCAAAAGCTGCATCTCCAAAATCCTGGCTCCCCACACCACCACTCCCTCAGATCCCTGTGCTCTCTGCTCCTATCACCTTTCCCCAGTCACCTTTCAGAGGCACTGAGCTCCCCCAGCCATGAGAGGCACGCACCCTGTGAGTCTTGCCCAAAGTTTTCTCCTCTCTAGCTCAAATGTAACTGCTCCTCCAAAATCCATCTCAAGCTGCAGAGCAGAGATGTTTGCACCTTCTCTGAGCCATGTGCTTGCTGCAAAGAGGGGTTTTGGTTGAATCACATCAGTGCTGACCCTGTTTTCTGGCTTCATGATGAAGCCCCACTGGTATCAGTTGTGCCTCCCTTAGCTCCTGGAAGCTCCCTGTGTACCCAGAGGTCCAAGGCATGGAGTGCAGCAGCAAGCAGGTCCAGGTTCCAGCAAGGCTCCCTTTCCAGCCTTTCCTGGGTTCCTGCCTCTCCTCGGTTGCTGCCTTTGCTCATTTTTCCAGAGTGGAGGTTTGCAGCCTTCCCTGACCAGCTCAGGCTGATTCTCCCCAGATATGCTCTGAGTCACCTGGCACGGCTCAGTCAGGGCATTTTTCTCCAGGAGCTGAATCAGCAGGGAGAAAAAGAATCCCCTTCTGTCCAGAGAACTTCATCAAAGGCCTGGGGGGAAGCAGAGAGGGGGAATTGGCAGAGCTCAGCCCTGAACCCTGCAGGCTCCCACTGATCCCTACCCAGCAGAGCTTTTGCATGTCAGCCTGTGCTGGAGTGGGGTCCTGGGGCTGGAAACGAGCAGGACAACATGGGGACCCCAAGCAGGGCATTGCCCCCGTCCCAAAACAAGTCTCCTCTGCAGTGATGAGACAGACACCCCATGGAAGAGCTCAGGGAAGCAGAGAGACTGCAGGGACAAATCCAGGAGCTGTGGGGCACCAACAGGACACAGGTGTCCCACATGTGTCCCCAAACTGCTGCAGGGCAGTTCAGGCAGGCATAGCACCACGGCCAGCTGTGCTCAGTGCCTGGGTCCCACAGGTGTCCCACATGTGTCCCCAAACTGCTGCAGGGCAGTTCAGGCAGGGATGGCACTGTGGCCAGCTGTGCTCAGTGCTGGGGTCCCACAGGGAAACAACTGAGCTCCCAGTGCTCCCAACCAGGGCTCACAGCAGCCTCCATTCCCCCTTCCCCAGCCAGTCTACCATGCACTGAGCACGTCTCATCCCATCTTGCACAACCAGCAGGGCCTCCACAGATACTCCTGGGCTTCAAGTTGTTCCAAGTAAGGTTGCAGCTTCTCTGAGAGCCTCCTTGCCCCGTGCTCAGAGCTGCAGTTCCAGCAGCACTCCTGTGGCTGAGCTGCTGCTTGCACATTAGATTTGGGGTGCAGGAGGAAGAGAGGGACACAAAAGAGGGAGGGACCCCAAGTTTGTCCCAGTGAGCATCCCCAGGTGTGCCCAGTCCAGGCTCTCACCTGGGGATCACTGCCAGCAGAGATGCTGTGCAAGGGGCCCCCTCAAAGAGAAGAAGCAAGGCTGAGAGATTGTTTCCCTTCGCTATTAAATCTGTCTGGTTTAATACTTATTCACATTGGTGAGTCAGTTCTCTCTGAGCTGGCATTTGTTCCTGGAAAAAAAAAAAAGCCTTAAAAAGAAGAAGGAGGGAAACAAACATCCTTTAAAAAGCCCCTTTGGCTCGAAAGGAGGAAAGAATAATCAAGCAGACATCTCCTGTGGCCCAGCTGCCTGACAACCCCCAGCTCTGGGCAGGAGCCCCTGAGAGCACCATGCTGCCTCTAATTCACGTTCTTCTTCCCTGCACCCTGCCAGGAAAAACTGCTGAGGGGAAATGTTCCTTGGCCAAAAGCTGCCTTTCCTTCTCTCCGGACTCCCTCACAGTCTCCAGCCATCCTTCTGGCCAAACCCAAGAGCTCTCCATGTTCCCATGACTCTTAGTCATCCCCAGCACAGTCAGCCATGCTCTCATCTCTTGGCCCCAGGGCCTTGTCCTGCTGGTGCCTAAGTGCCCCCTTTGGAGCAGCCCATTCCCCTCCAGGCTCTCGAGGCTTTCAGGGCACTGCAGGTGCACATTCAACAGCCACCTCTGTGCAGATATTTTGGCACAACCCTTCTCTTTCTGCCCATGGTTTGTCAGGGGGTTCCTGTCCCTTCCCTGCTGTTGGGGCTGCAGCTGGGGCAGCTGGCAGAGCCTGGACCTTCCTCCCCAGCACTGTCAGGTGATGGCTGTCACTTCCCACCCCAGAGCTGCTGTGGACAGCCCTGAACTTCTGCTGCAGCCTGAGGTTATCCAGAGACAGAGCAGGGAGCAAGGGGCTCCCTGTGTGTGACAGGAGCTGCTAATCCTGCTGACTTGGGTGGCCCTGAGAGAACTGGCTGGCTTCAAGCCTTCCCTCACACCTGTTTTGGAATACCCACAGCCCAGTGGAGGGTTAACAAAGTATCTGATTTATTAATTAGCAACACTGCTAACTAGCTAATTAGTTTAATTACCACCTCAAGGTGCCTGCCAGGCTGCCAATTACAGAACAGCTCCCAGCAGGGCAGGATGGCTGGGTGGGCTCTGGGGGAGGAAGGGTCTGTGCTTGATCCCTGTGGCTGCCTGGGGGTGTCAGGGTCACTCTGAGCCCCAGAATTTGAGGTTATGGGGGCGGGAAAGAGCAGGGGTCTCCCTATGCCCTCATATCAGGAGGGGTCTGCATGTGGGACTCCAACACCCTCCCTGCCAGGGAGGTGGTGAAGCTGGCATGGGCCTTGGGGGTGATCCTGTGTGGCCACAGGACCCTTCTCTGCGCCAGGGATCACATTTTTGGGTAACACAAAATAATTTGGCATCTTCACAGGCGTTTTCCCACCTGGGAGCTGCCCTGAGCTGAATTGCCTTTGTGGGCCAGTTGTGAGGGGCCTGCCATCTCCTGTGAGGGTCCTCAGGTCCCAGAGCCAGCACTGGGCTTGAGGTGAGACTTGTCCTGCTGACATTAAATGGAATCCACTGCCTGCAAGTGTGGGGACACTTTGTGTCCCCATGCAAGGCAAAAGTGTATAAATGTCCCTGGAGATTGGAGTGGCAGAAGCCAGAGAACACCAGGATTCTCCCAAACCCCAGCATGGTGCAGTGGCCCCTGCCAGTGTGGGGATGAGCGACTCTGGGAGCTGAGGGGACCCTGCAGTAGGGTGTGCACATGTCCCCACCTCTGCCATGGCGTTGTCACTGGTGACGTGACAAGGCACGGCCTGGTTTTTTTCCTCCTGTTTCAAAAACAAACAAAATAGGGAATTTAACTTGTGGTCAGCCCAGAAAGGAGAAGCTCCTGAGAGGGGAGTGCTGGGGACTGTGCCCACGAGAAGAGGCACCCACTGCTGGAGAGGATCCTGCAGCAGCACCGGCTCCGCGCTGGGGACACCTGGGGACACCCCAGACCTGGGGACATGGGGCCTGCTCTCCTCCTGCTGCTCACCACAGCTGGCTTCTGGCATGGTGAGTACCCCCAAAGGCCCAGGTCCCTCCAGGAGAGCTGTGGGATGTGGTGAGGGTTTCCTGGGTGTCTGGTGTGAGTGCTCCATTCCTTCTCTGCTGAGGAGGCCTTGGTGGGGATGGGGCTGTGCTGGAGCTGGACTCACAGACACCTGGCAGCTCCTGCAGGTGGAGGGTGAAGCTGGGCTGTGTCCCAGAAGGCTGCTGTGGGCTGGGATGGTCCCTGTTTGCTGCTGCATGGAGTGGGCACTGCTGTGAGCAGGTTCAAGGACCCTTGGCATGGCTGGGCAGAAGGTGTGTGCTCTGTGGCATTGCAGGGAAGAGACACCTGCGCTGGAATTCACTGCAGGCTTGGCTGTAGCAGCTTTCTGAAGGTCATCCAGAGCTGGCTGCAGTTAGAGAGGGAGGGCAGTGCTGGAAAGAGGGTGTGTTGCTGGTCTGTGTTGGCTCTAGAGCCTGGCTTGCTCTTGGCTGCCTGCAGCCCTGCCAAGGCAAGGCCAAGGAGGATGCAGAGGTGCACAAAGCATAGGAGAGCCTTGGGGAGATAGGAAAGAGAAACTTCCCACTCTTTGAGTCTGGACAGGGTTTAAGATGAAGGAATGGTTCAGCAGAAACTGTGTCCTGAGGGGAAGCTCTTTCCAAAATAACACTTTGCTCAAATGGGGAAGGAGCTGGAGGTGTTTGGTCTGCAGGTGGAGAGGTTGGGAATATCAGCTGCACTGGCACCTTCCAAAGCACCTCATGCCCAGCTCGAGTGTCTGAGGATTGCTGATTTGCAGGGCTGTAGAGCCAGGGTGTGATGGAAACAACTCAGCCAGCCAAGAAGGGAAAGGTGAACACGCCTTTGAGGCTGCAGAGATGGCCAAGAAGCAACAACCCACCAACCTCAAAAAAGAGTCACCAAGCCTGTTTTGAGGTTTACAACCAAAGAGGTGGAAACCAGCACTACTCATATTGCGTTTTGAAGTGCAGGGAATCTCTCAGGTCCTGTGTGGCGCTCACCTTAATATTCCTTTTGAGCATGCTTGGGGACACAGTGAGACTGTGGTGGGGACAGCCTGTGGGGACAGCATTTAGCATGCAACAGGCAGGGAATCCTTCTTGGGCCACTGCAGCGCTCATCTTCTCAGCCCAGGACATTTGCATCCCCCTCACTTGTTGTTTCACTTCAAGTGACATTTGCAACATGTTGAGCATCATTTTCTAGGTCTGCTGTGCTGGGAACTGGGCTGTGAAGGCTTCAGGGTTTTTAATTTCTTGTGGATTTTACAATAATAGGGCAGGTCTAGTGCGAGATCATAACAACAGCTTTTAGGATCTCCCCAAAGATTCCCTGACCCACTGGCCAGTGCCAGATCATGAGCTGTGACACCTTCATGAGGCACTGTCTGCCATGCCACGCTGTAGGACGCACATTTTTGTGGGTACCAGCACTGCTGGCCATTTGCAGCACAGAGATGCACCAGGCCAAGGTTCTACAAAGCAATAGCCTCCAGCTGGAGCCAGAGCCTGACTTCCTTCTCCTGCCTCTTGGATTGCAAGGGCATCTTCTGTGAGCACCCAGGGCTGATGTGATGTGATTGTTGTGATCTGGGCTCTTGCTGAGGGAGGGTAAGGGGCTCAGATCAAGCAGAGGAAATGTTTTAAACCTGATCATCTTGCATCTGTGTTCTTGGCCATCTTGAGATGTATTCCTGGGAGTTTTGTTTTCTTATTGTGGGTAACCTAAACCTCTGAGGGAGAAGCCCCAAGCAGAGCTGTGATGAGCACACTTTTCTCCATCCAGATACTGTAGGTGACTCTGGGGTCCTCAGAAATCAAACTTTTCCTTGCTGTCTCTGAGGGTGGGACAAAGGGAGCTCAGGTCTGGTATGGATGCCTCTTAGGACCAGAGCTTAGCCTAGTTACTCCCCAGAATTAACTAAAATGCCTGGTGGCTGGATCCTGGGCACTTCTGTCATACCAGCCTTCACTTCTCCTTCCTCACCAAATGCTCAGCAGGGGAAAGCAGTGTTTTGGCTGGCATGGGAGAGGCAGGGACAGTCTGCAGCTGTGAGGAGAGGTCATGGTTACACAACCCAAGTGTGGTAAAACCTCTGGCCAGCAGTTACTGGCAGCGCTGCGGAAGCTGCTGGAGAGCAGAACAGAGACATCCTTGGGCTTCATGCAAGATTGCACAGTGGTCAGCCGGGACAGAGCCTCCCCCAGCAGCCCTGCTTCCCCATTCTGGAAAAGGACCCACTGCTCTGACTCATCCCCAGCACACATGAAGGAGTGGGTGCTCAGTGACCTCCAGCTTGCCTTCTCCTGCATTTGGTGTTTCTGTCTTGTTTGTCCTCACTCCACCTGTGTGGTGCTTTCAGTGTGGATGTGAGGCTCTAGTGACAGCCTGAAGGCTTTTTCCTCACTGTTCTGGACAGCACCTACCCAGAGCCTTTTCTGGCCCCAGCACCTCTGTAATACCTGTGAGCTGGTGACAAGATGCACAGTGAGATGACTCCTGTTTGTTTTGTTTCCTTTCCTTGTCCTCCTGCAAAAAGAGTCATTTTCCCCATGAAATGGTGCCAAAGCCTTGGCTGTGGATGGATAGCCAAAGCAGAGAGTAAGTGAGGGAAAAGGATCCAGTGACAAAGAGTTAAAGCAACAGAAATATCAAACCCCACTAGAAAACACAGCTTAGCAAAAAGGGAGGAATGTTTTGCCTCAGATATGTGGAAAATGTAGCTTTGCAAATTATTCTGGGATATGTTTTTCTCCGCTCTGGGCTTCTTCTCTTTCCACAGAAAGATAAAAGTATTTAAAAAAAAAAAAAGGGAATGGGGAGATAAAATGTCAAATTTTCCATGCTCCAAAGATTCTTCTTCTCTGCTTCTCCCTACAGGGCCAGTGAGTTTAATCTATGCCTTGTCTGAGCTTCCCCATGGCCACTGTGTCATTGACACACGCCAGCAACGCTCTCCAGGGTCTTCTCAACCCTTTGTTGCATGGAGGGAGTCATCAGCCCAGGATGGCTTAAATGCTGCTCCTTGGGCTCTGGAGAGCACAGCCCTGAGCTCAGCTGGCAGCCCAGCACACACATCTGTACCCTGGGCATTGCCTTCCTCCCCTAAAGAGCTGTGATCAGGGGTGGGTGAGGATGGGGCTGTGCTCTGCTGGCTCTTACAGGGCCAGTGTCCATGGCAGGGGATCACTGCCTGCAGAGCAATGAATTGATAATTGCACAGCTCCCTTTATGGTTAGTATTATTTGAATGAGGGTGTGTGTCCCTTTAAATGTGAGGTTGGGTGAGCAACTGGGAAGGAAAGCAGAAGTGGGAGAATAGCCCTGGACAGGGGCTGGGAGGGGGTGCAGAGCCCCCCAGGCACAGATAGCCATTTGCAATGTGTTTCCTGTCCTCCCTGAGGGCCTGGAGCGGGGTGGCTGCACCACTTCTTCCCCAGCCCTGTGGCACTGATTCATTTTGCACTTCCCCCCACCCTAAATATAGGAGGTGACTCAAAGAACTCGCTGACAGGGCAAAACTGGGAAAAAATATTTCCCTCTGACACTAAGGCTGGAGTAGGGCCCTGGTTCCCCTTTATTCAGCCAGCAGAGCAGGCATCTTCAAAGGAGAGATGCTTCAGAACTCTGGCTGGTTGTGATGCTGCTGTCTGCAGGATTGGTGTGTTGTATGAACAAATGCAGCCATGGGCTGTCATCAGCTCTTTAGGTTTTCCATGCCTCAGTTTCCTCTCCCAAATAGGAATAATAATGTTGTGTCATTTCATAATGCTTTGTTGGTGTCTGTGAGGAGAATGCAGTGTGTGACTCCATGATGCACACACGAGGGGGTGTCCTTCAAAATCCAGTACTTGGCAACAAAAAGCCAAATTATATGCACTGACCTGCTCTGCAGGAGCCTTCCAGGTCTCTTCTAGCTCACCTCAGCACCAATGCAACAAAGAGCCCCATCCACCAAACTTGGCTTTAACTCCCCCAAATGATGCTATGGGCTAACCCAGTCCATAGAGCGGCTCCAGCTCTGCCGCAAAAGGAAAACTATTGTAAGAGGCAAAAAATCAGCAGGAGCAATTGCCAAACTGGCATTTGCCCTAATCAGCTCCAGATGATTGCTTTTCCTGTCCCAGTTGTCTAAATGTTCAAATGGCAGGGAAGTGTGGAGGGTGGTGTTTCTTCCCTGAAATTCATTCCTTGGAGTATCAGGCCATATGTGTCTGGTGGGACAGAGAATGATGGAGTGATATGAGCCAAAAAGCCAGTCTGAATCCCAAGCTCAGCCTTTTCCTCCATTCTCAGCAGTGTGAACTCCAACAGAGGATCTTTAGGGGTCATTTTTGCATTCTCACTCTCTCTTTCCCTTGCAGGCTCAGCATCTCCAGTGATCAGCCCTGATCTCCCTGCTCTTGTTGTCAACACCGGTGATCCAGTCCTCTTGCACTGCTCAGGAGAGTCTGAAGTTGCATGGAATAGCAAAGAGGTTACATTCAGAAACCACACCAGCAGCACCCTCAGTATTCCCAATGCCACTTACAGGAACACAGGCACCTATACCTGTGCTTATGTCAACAGCAGTGACAAGGGCATTGCAGCCATCCACCTGTTTGTGAGAGGTAATAACCCTGCTTGTCTCTTCCCACAGCCACTGGCAGAGCAGCATCCTTGCAGGGAGCCCTGCACAGGTGCTTTGTGCTGTGTTTGTGTGTGTGTGTGTGTGTGTGCCTGGGGAGCAGTGCAGGCTCCTGGTGGAGCCACACAAAATGGGGCCCATGGTTAAAGCACTGGGATAAAGCATAGAGCTACATCTCATGTATATGTGGATCTCTCCCTCCTTCTGCTGTGGCTTCCCTTCCTGAAAAACAGTCTGTTCAGTGTTGTAATGAGCAGTGAGAAAATCAGAGAACTCTGTTGTCAGTACCTCAGATAAGGGAGAGACTCACATGAATTACATCTTCCCAACATGACCTGAACCCCAAATATTCATTTATCTCAAAAGAAGCTGTGCTGTGGTAGCTCTGCCACTTGACTTCACCCCTTCCCTTGTACCACAAATGCTGCCCTGAGCAGGGAAACCAGAGATCTCACAAGTAAAACTTTCACCATGGTGAAAAGTTTAATTAGAGGTATACATACTTTTCAGCCTCTCTTATCCATGGCCTTTAGTGAGCTGGTTGCTGTGATCCCCTCAAATGCCTCGGCTGGAGCTGGGTTTGTCATGTGAGTGTTTGGAGGCTGAGTCAGGCAGGCTGAGCAGGGCTGCCCCAGCATCGAACTCCCACTGGGCAGCAGTGCTGGAAGCTTGCCTTGCTGGAATGTGTTTCTCACTTCAGTGCATTTTCTGACCCCTCTCACAAGGCTGTCCTGTCTCCTCTGCAGACCCTAATAACACGTGGTACACCCCCTCTTTCCGGGTCTGGGGGATCAAAGGTGGGAATGTTGATTTCCCCTGTTTCATCACGGCCCCCGAGTACGGATCCAGTGTGACTCTGATAAGGGATGATGCCTCTCCTCTCCTACCTGGGACCAACTACTCCTTCAGTGCTGAGAGAGGAGTAACACTCTACAATGTGCAGACCAAGCATAAGGGCCCTTACCGATGCCAAGCACAGATAAATGGAAAAATAAATAATTCACCAAGAATAAGACTGGTTGTGGAAGAAGGTAAAGAACAGGGGTTGTTGCTGTCCTAAGGGCCACAAATAGCTAAGCTGGGCACAGTAGATAGTTAGGGAAAGACCTTCTGAACCTGCAGTTTCAAAAGGTTATTTAATGGAGGCCAAATTCCATCAGCCTCTGGCAATTTGGTTCCTTGAGATGGGCTTGCATGGGTTCAGCAGTCTTCAAATCTTTGCAGGCCCTGTCACAGACCAGACAAAAATGTCCACCAATCTGTCCAAAGTTCTGCAAGTTCTCAGTCCCTGATGCTCCATTTGTAACCATGGCAAAAGCTTCTCCTTCCCTTTCAACCCACAGTCCTGACTGCTGTGCTCTCCCTCCCTGTACTGCTTCCCACAGACATGTGCTCAAAAGGGAGTGGTGATCTCTAGAAAGGGAAGGCAGGGGGTAAAGAGGATGGAAAGGAGGAGGTAGAATCATAGAAAAGAGTAATAAAATAGTTTGGGTGGGAAGAGACTTTGAAAATCATCTAGTTCCGACCTGCTAGATCAGATTGTTCAGCTCCCACCTAAGCTGGCCTTGAACACTTGAGGATGGGGCCTCCACGACTTCTCTGGGCAATCTGTGCCTCACCACCCAAGGTAGCCAGGTCCTGGGGAGTCCCCAGAGCACTTGGGCTCACTGGACAAGCTGACATGGATCTTTCCCTGCTTGCCTTTGTGCAGCGCTGGAGAAGCCTGTCTATGTGGAGATGGACCCTGTGGACCATGTGCGGATCGTGGGAGAACCTTTCCAAGTCACCTGCAGGGTGACTGCTCCTTCCCACAAGTATGACATCAAATGGGACACAGCAGCAAAGAAAGTAAGCTGGAGTGTGGGGCTTTCCTGGAAAATGGGAGACACAGGGTGGTAAGAACTGCCCAGACCCACAGCAAAACCTTGAACCACCCAACCAATGCAGCTAGTCAAGCTGTAGAAATTTGAATATCCTTTCTTTGGGATGACACAGGATAAAGAAACACCTGCCTGTTGTCAAAACAGTCTGCAATGGATGAGAATGTGTGGTTTCAGCTGAGTTTATTGGACAGGAGCCACAGTACCTATTAAAGCAACATTTCTTCTCCCAGCCCTGCCAGGGCTTATAAAGCAGCAAGCATTTTCAGGACAGAGTTCTCCAGAGAAAAGATATGTCTGAAGAAAAGGAATCTATAATGCTGACTTCTAACTGCTAGATGGTTAGATGAGGTTTGCTAGAAGTCCTTATTATAACTGATGCCTTTATTAAGGAGATGAAACCACACACAAGGTATGTTTGTATCACACAGTGTAAGGCCAGGTTGCAGTCAGAAGGCTGACAATAGCTGTAACCTGACTGCTGTGCAATATCTGCCCTGGATCCTGGGGGTTAATGTGCCTCTGGGTCTGCACACAGGTTGCTCTCAGGGATGAGCTCTCTAGCCCTGAGCAGGTGAGATGTGTTTGTTCTGCCCTCCCAATGTGTGCTGTTCCCTGCTCTCTGCCTGACAGGTCAACAGAACTAAAAGGGTTGACCTTGAAAATGATAACTACTTCATCAGTGACACCCTGTCCATTGCAGCTGTGACCATGGAGGACAGTGGCAAGTACGTCTGCATAGCTAACAATTCAGTAGGATCCAAGAATGCCTCAACAATGCTTCAGGTAGTAGGTGAGTCCTTCCCCAAAAGCCTAGTAGGGCTGAATCATGTGCAGCCTGGAGTATTTGCTGCTTCTGCCTCCATTCTCTTCCTAGATTTGTTGTTGAAAACATTATTCTCACTTGTGCCCAAGGGCTTACATGGGAACTATGGAGCTGCTGGGAAAGGAACTGGTGTTCCCTTAGTATTTGAAGGAGCCAGAGGATGTTTTGGGTTCTGGATGAAAAATTGAGTGCTAGTCTCAGTCTCTGTGCATTTATAAACAGCTTTGAAACAGTAAAAAGGGAGTGGGCAAGGTTGTGCTGGCAGACCAGGAAAGGCTGGTTAGAAGGAAGGGTGAGCCACATGAGCAGAGTATGGATCTGGTCTCTTCCAGCCACAGATCCACCAAAGGGGGTTCAGGTCTGTTACACACTTGTTTGTATCTCAAGATGGAAAATTCATCCCTACAGCTCACAGGCTGGAGTTTGCTGATGGTCCAAAGCCACAGCTCAGAAAGAAGGCTCTGTCTGTTATCTCCTAGTGAGAAGCCAGGATTTTAGCTAAAGGGCCTGTATTTTCTAAACAATTAGGAGATACTGTTTAGCCTTGTCACTTCCTAGGATACAGCATGTACAACTTCATTCCTCAGAGACTTCACTAAGATGTCCTAGCTCTTCTCAGGCAGTGCCATGACAAAGAAATAATTTAAGAGCACTCCTTTGGGAACATAACCTGTGTAATGTTTCACTCCCTCCTGCAGTCTCCCAGCTGAGGCTGCTCTTTCCAATAATGATCCATTTATGGGGCTGGTGTAGGGTTATTCCAGGTCTCTGGACGTGCCTGCTGACAGTCATGCTCTCCTCCACCCTGCAGAGAGAGGTTACGTGCACCTGACCCCAGGGCAAGCCACCAGCCTGGAGGTGGCTCTGGGAGACAATGTGGAGCTGCAGGTCCACATTAAGGCTTACCCAAAACTTCTCCACTGGGCCTGGGAACACAGGAATCCCTTGAAGCACTCTAAACCCACCATATTCAAGGGTGAAATGATCTTTGGAAACAACTGGTACGTGCTCTTTGTCTTCTACCCTTCTATGGCATGTTTCCACGAGAGCTTTCCTTGAAACAGGCAGGCCCCATTCTACAGAAAATTCTCTGGTTTTAAAGAGGGAAACTGTTCTGCATTTCTGTTTTCTCTTTCCAGTATTATTAGCAAACCACAGTGTGATCAAGGAGGACACCACCCTTCTCTAACTTGGTGGCCTTCTCCTTAGAAAGCCTTGTGGGAGTCAGTATCACGTTTGTGATCTGCTTGTTCAATTCTGCACTCTCCTTGCCAGAAGAAATTGCAGGAGTGGATGAATAGTACAAAAACCTTAATTTCCTCACTGGCCCTTGGACGTATCCCCTGCTCTGAGGTTGAAAGAGTGTGCACTGAGAGGCACTGGGAACATATTGTTATGTGAATATGTTCTAACAGAGTTCTAACACATCTGCTCTTCCAAAGCCTGCAGCCAACTGAGACCAAGGGGAAGAAAATCATTCCATTTGTTGGGGTTTTGGGCAATTTCCCCTTTCATTTTCTTAAAAACAAAAAACAATCCAGAAGAGGAACTGTGCCACTTGGCAAAATTATGGCTTTAGGGTGAACTCTTTCTTGCACTGGGGGCTGAGCAATTGGCTGGGGTCAGAAGGGAGTGGCACTAGGGAGCAAAGATTCAAGGAGATTCAAAGATTCATTTTGCCAAAGGCAGGAGGACCAGCATCCCCTGACCCTTGAAAGGCAATGATTTAGATGTTAAATTATTTCTGAGCATTCACCCACCTGTAGCCTTTCAGAAGTGCTGAAGTGCTCTTGGTGGCAAAAGGTATTTCCCCTAAGGAAGATCAGTTCCTCCCTAGTTCCCCCACAGAAGCAACTGGCAGGTTCCCAGATGGGCTGGGATCAGTGCTGGAAGTGTTCCAGAGCACAGAAGCAGCAGCATCTCACTGAGCAAGGCCTGTGTGCTCCTCACAGTGTTTCTCTCTGTGAGCAGGTACAACAACACACTCTCCCTGAAACGCCTGAAGGAGGGAGAGGGAGGCCTCTACACCTTTTATGCCTCCCACAGTGCGACCAATGAGTCAGTTACCTTCAGCATCTCTCTGAAATGTAAGTTCTTGTCCATTCTTTCACCCTGCTTGCCTCTGGGACTGCTTCCCAGTTGGAAAAAATAGTTGGTTGGGGTACCAGGGTGTCACAAATATCTTTTATGGAAAATTCTTTCCTTAGGATTTTTCCTCCTGAGAAGCTGAGAGGCCTCAGGAACAAAATGTAAACAATGGTTATCTGCTGCTGTGGAATGCAACAGGTGCATCTGTGATTGGTTTCATATTGGTTGTTTCTAATTAATGGCCAATCACAGTCAGCTGGCTCAGAGAGTCGAAGCCACAAGCCTTTGGTGTCATTCTTTTCTATTCTATCCTTAGCTAGCCTTCTGATGAAATCCTTTCTTCTATTCTTTTAGTATAGTTTTAATACAATATATATCATAAAATAATAAACCAAACCTTCTGAAACATGGGGTCAGATCCCTGTGAGCACGGTCACACCAGGCTGCTTCCAGCTCAGCACCCACAGGACACACAGACCCAGCCCAAAGCTGCCTGTGTGTAGCACAGGGGTTCCTCTGGTTTATTGTTGCATGCATGGAAAGGAAACCAGAGCATGGGGGATGTGCTCTTCCTCTGGTCACAGCATTCACTGTTTCTGTGGCTTCCCCAACAGCTTCTCCAAGGGTCTGCAAAATCAAGGTGCCAGCTGAGGACTCCAGCCTGCTGCAGTGCGTGGCCATCGGGTACCCTGCCCCACGCATCGAGTGGTACCAGTGCCCCGTGCACTCTGACAGGTGAGGCTGCCCAGGGCACTGAGCCCTGCAGGCTGTGCCCCTGCCCTGGCTGGCATTCACTGAGCAGCAGCACCACGTGGGCTCCTGGGCAGGCAATACAGCAATCCTGCCCAGTAACAGCAGCAGGGATGCTGCTCTGCTGGAAAAAGGAGGTTCTTGGAGTCTGCCTGAGAAGAGGGGGCACTTTCTATTCCTAAAGTCCTGAGCTTGAAGAGATTGTCCACCTGTGATTCATGCTCCGCCCATGATTTTTCAAGGAATATATGGATCATTTGGAGAGGTGCCCTGGTGTATGTTGCTGTAGAGGTAAATCCTGACTGGCCTAGTCATCTTTTTGGGACTTCCACAGGTCTGAGGCTCTGCAGAGCATGGGTTTACTGAGCTACAGAGTCACGGGAAGCAACTGCAGCTGCCTGGACAGGGTTGTTGTGCCTCAGGACCAGCCCCACTGAAGGGACTGATGGCAGAACACATAAAGTGTTAATTAAGAGTGCTGAGCCACATAAAGGCACTCATGGCTCTATCTAAGCAGGGCTGTGGCTGGTTTTGCTCTGGTCCCCACAAATCCATGGACTGAATTAAGGGAGAGAAAAATACTCCTGTATTCAGGGCGAGATCTTTAATTTGGCACAGAGTAACACATCTCACAGAGCTGCAAGCCTAATTCCCTGTGTCTCCTCTCTATTCTGACACAGCCCCCCACCTTCCCCAGCTGTGAGCTGCTGTGCTGCAGAGCAGCCCTCACTGTCCCCTCTTGCCATCCCTGCAGGTACAGCGAGGACTACAGACTGATAAGCAATGACTCCAGACCCCAGGTGGTGAATGTGTTGCCCTTCCAAGAGGTGGAGGTGGAGAGCAGCATCCTCTTCGAGGAGCTGGGTGACAATTTCACCTTCTGCTGCGTGGCCATTAACGGGGAAGGGAACGCCTCTGACATGTTCCACTCCTTCACCATCACCAGTAAGATACAAACCATCAGCTGGGCAGAGTAGGGGAGGATCTGGGGGCTTGGAGATTACATCCTTTATGTGTATCCCCACTGTCTGGCAAGAGAGCTGGGGCAGATTGCACAAGCCCTTTACCCTCACAGGTGTGGGGCTTTGGCATTTGCCAGTCCTGAGAGATGTGGGAATTTCTGTCCGGGTTATAGCCTGGAGCCACATCATGAGCATCTTATAACTGCAGCACTCAGCTCCAGGGCATGGTGCATCCAGCAGCTTCTCAGCCCATGAAAATGCAGGGGCTGCCTCTTTTGGTGGGGCTGTTCTTGCTGCACAGGTCTTGGTCCCCAGTCAGTTTGAGCTGCATCTGGTGCTGTTTGTGTGGAAATAGGAGGGTATGAGAACTAGCCTAGAGTTTGGCATCAAGACCTTTCCTCAGCTCCCAAAAGGGTGTGCTGAGGGCTGTGCTGGGTGTGTGGCATATAGAGGAATCCAAAGTGAATAGCTGGGCAAAATGGTCCCAGAGTTGGGATTGAACTAAGAGTGTTTACTCATTCTCCTTCTTTTTCCTCTTCCAGGGAGTATCGTGGCCCTTCCAAACAAGCTCTTCAGCCCTGTTCTCTCCACCTGCATTGGGGCATTGGTGCTGCTGCTCCTCCTCCTCCTCTTCCTGCTCTACAAGTACAACCAGGTGAGATTCCCTGTTCAGGCTGTGAGGGCTGCCCAGCCTCAGGGGCACACAGCCTCTGCTGGCAGCCAGGCCAGGGGCCATCCAGCTTGGAGGGACCAGGCAAGCTGCCTCCTTCACCTCCCCTGCCTCCCAGATTCCATCTGCAGTTTCCTGCTGCAGGGCCAAGCTCATGCACCCAACCCAGTGTGTTAAAACCTCCCCTGCCCTGCTCCTTCAGCCTTGCAGCCCACAGGTCAGTGTGGTTATTGTTTGGTGCCAGAAGAAGGTGCTCAGTCTGTGCTGTCAGCTGCAGCTGGTTTTGCTCTGGTACCCACAAAGCCATGGACTGGATTAAGGGAGAAAAAAAAAAAAAGTGGTTTGCAGTTTGCATCTACTTTTTATTCTGTTCACTGCTTTATAAAAAACTATTTTTATGGAGAAACAGGATGGTGTTAGAAGTAGTTTGTTTCCAGGAAGACTTGGTCACTATTTTTATATAAGAACTTGCCCCATTTTCTCTGCAGGGCTCATTTCCAGCATTTGGATTCTTTCTCTGTTTTTTCCACAAACTGAACCAATCAGTAGCCACCTCTGCCTCACTCTGCCTCATCAGTGGGTGAAAATCTCCTGTTTTTCATCTCTCCCTTTTGGCACCCTTCCTTTGACAGCCTATCAAGGCTGAAGATTTTGCAGCAAAGTTCTGGTGCTGGTTGCCAGAAGATCCATCAGAGCCCTCTCTCAGACAAGCACCCACAGCTCAGCAGGCAGAGCTGCCTTTGGACAGCAGTCCAGAGACAGACAAAGATGGATCAATGTGGAAGAGCAGATCTGAAATAAATAGCTTTTTGGAAGGGCTTGCAAGCCCAAGAGATGTCTATAAATAACCTGGTTACCTATCTCAGACAAGTCCCAGCCTTCTCTGCTCAAGGACTCCAGCTCTGCTGCTCTGCCTTGCCCTGTTACTTCTGCCATGACATTCTTGGAAAAGAGAAATTCTTACTTCTCTTTCTCCTTTTTTGTTTTACCCCTGTAAGGAAGTGAGGGTGGGCCAGCCCCACTGTTGTGCTGGGCTCAGCAAGCAGGGATCCAAGGAAGGAGACACAGTGGGGACATCTCCCTCCAGCCCCAGCTGGGCACTGTCAGCCACTGCCCTGGTGGGACAGGCTGGATCTCCCAGCTCTGCCATCCCCAATGATGGCAACAGGCTGCTTCCAGTGGCAGGAGAGCCTCCCTCAGTCACAGGTGATGACCTCTCCATAACTGCAAAGATCCAGGCTGTCCAGAAAAAGCCTCCCTCACTCAGCCAAGATTCTAAAGATATTTGATGGGCTGAAACCTGTATCTTCCCTGTGCACCTGCAGAGTGAGCTTGAGGGGATGCTGGGGCTGGGGAGCCCTCCCAGCTTGGGGAACTGAGTGACTGGAGCCTCTTCCTTGCAGAAACCCAAGTACCAGGTGAGGTGGAAGATCATCGAGGCCTGTGAGGGCAATAATTACATCTTCATTGATCCCACCCAGCTGCCATACAATGAAAAGTGGGAGTTTCCAAGGAACAACCTCCAGTTTGGTAAGAAACCTTCCCTGCTGCTTGCCTGGTGGCATGAAGCTCATCAGAGAGCTGAAATGCTTCAAGAGTCAGAGCCAAAGCTCTGGGTGATATCCAAAGCTGCATCCAGACATTCCAGCAGCATCCCTAACCAGCCCTTGCTGCTCTCTTCCATATGGGATGGTAAGCGGCAGGGTGTAGCCTGCCTGTCCCTCCCTTTGCTCCAAGGAAGGCTGCGGGTGTCATGTCCCTCCTCTTGCACGTGGGGTCGTTCCTAAGGCACAGCCTTGGTGAGGCAAAGTTTGGAGATGGCCTCTTTCACACCACCTTTGCTCACTGTAGAGCTCCCCACAGATGTTTGCCAGCTCCTGACTAAGGGATGTGTCATCTTGTGTGAGCCCAGCAGGCATCCCCTTCCACCAGACATGCTCCTCAAGGCTGTGTGCAGGATAGCTGCTCAATCTTGCTCTATCAAATGTCTGAAAAGTCCATTTTTTTTTTTTCTCTCTGCAGGAAAAACTCTTGGAGCAGGAGCCTTTGGAAAAGTGGTGGAAGCCACAGCTTTTGGGCTGGGCAAAGAAGATTCGGTGCTCAAAGTGGCTGTGAAGATGCTAAAGTGTGAGCACAGAGCAAATTGCAAGGGTTGAAAGCCCCCAAGCTCCTCTGGGCAGGATGTAGAATGTGTTCGCCACATGTTGGTGCTCACTGGCTGCAGCAGCTACTTTTTGAAGTTGTTTCTGTGCCAAGTACCAGATGCTGGAATCACACTACTGCCTTTTTTGTGGACAGGGGAGGCCAGAGGCACAGTTAGAGGACATAGTTTTCACTCTAAGTGTGTTTCCTCCTTTTGTTCCATGACTCTGTCTACACCTTTTTCTGTCCTCTCCCTTCATCTCCCCCTTGTCCCTCCCTCACTCCTTCACACGGTGCTTCTCTCACCCCACAGCATCAGCAGACAGGGACGAGCAGGAGGCCCTCATGTCTGAGCTGAAGATCATGAGTCACTTGGGACACCATGAGAACATTGTTAACCTGCTGGGGGCATGCACCTGTGGAGGTAGGATCCCCCAGCCCTGCTGCCCCCACAGACCCTGACAGGGCCCCTCCTCTAGGCACAGCTGAGCTGTGTGGGTTCTGCTGCCCTCCCAGGGAAAGCAATCCTCAGGGCAGGGCACAGCAGCAGCATTCCTTAATGAACCCTCTCTGCTGCTCTCCCAGGCCCAATCCTTGTCATCACCGAGTACTGTCGCTATGGAGACCTGCTGAACTTCCTCAGGAAGAAGACTGAATCCATAATTATCCAGGATTCTGCCCTGGACACCTCTTTGGACAGTGCTGCTGATTACAAGAACATTGAGCTAGAGAAAAAATACATCCGCAGGTAGGAGCAGAGCCCGGGGCCTGCAGGGCTGAGCAGCGCAGGGCTGGGCGCTCACTGGGAGAAGTGTGAGGAGCACTGTGCTGGGGAGAGATCAAATCCTGCCTGGGGACAGGCAGGACATCAGGATGTAAAAGCCACAGAGGTTGCATGTATTCAGACCTGGTTATAATTCCAAGTTTTTCAAGGACTTTGACAGCAGTCATTGAATATGCCACAATAAATGCAGGTTACTGCCCTGTCTGACCTTCCACAATTCAGAAACAAAACCTTTTGGTTTCTTGCACTATTGGGCACTTGCATTTGGTAGGATGGAGCTGACTGCTTCCCATTACCCTTAAAAAAGGGGCCCAGGTTCCCTCTCTATCAGTTTCTAGTTTGCCTTTGCCCTCAAGCCCCTGCCTAAGTCACCTTCAGGGGGCAGGTATTTGGTTTCTGCTCCTGGTGGATATGGAGCAGGGCAGAAGGTGCTGTTGCAGGGTTCTAACAGCCTGCCCCCCTCTCTGCTGCTTCTTACTCAGTGACAGTGGCTTTTCCAGCCAGGGTTTGGAAACTTATGTTGAAATGAGGCCTGTGTCATCATCATCATCTTCAGCAGCATCAGATTCTGCGCAAGTCAGGGGTGAGTCAAAGGCTCATTTCTGTCATTTGTGATTTCTTTATTTTGGCCATCCTGTCTGGTTTAGCTCTGGAAACCATGACATGCCACAATTTGCATTACTCACCAGCTTTGCAGCAAATCTAAATCTCTGCTCTGAATTTCAGGGAGAAGCTCGGAGGAGGATGAAGCCAGGGAGGATCTCCGTCCCCTCAATCTCTCTGACCTGCTGCAGTTCTCCAGCCAGGTGGCCCAGGGCATGGCATTCCTGGCATCAAAGAACGTGAGTGCCCAGAGGAACACTGCCCCCAGCACACCAAGGGCAACACCAGTCCAGCCAAGCAGGAGCCACCCAATCCTGGCTGCAGAAGGCTTGGGATGTCTTTGGATGGGGATGCCAAGCTCAAGCAAGCTGCTGCTGGACATGGGCCTCTCTGCTGTGTCTGTTGGGTTCAGACAGGCTGGGCCCTGGTGTCTGGTGTTCCCTCCAGAGCCCTTGCATGGAGGGCAGTGTTACAGGGGGAACCCAGGGCTGTGCATCATGCTGGTCTCAACAGTTTCTCCCCTGCTTTTACACGAGGTCAGGAGCTTTGTTTTGAAGCTTTCTCGCTTTGGCAGCGTCCCTGCTACCCCAGGGACAAGGAACTGAAAGTGGCTGTTGAGCTGACTGCCAGAGCTGGCTCAGAGTGTGACAGTCACCCTGTGACTGTTTCAGGGATGAGAACAGTGTAAACAGCCCCTGGTTCTGACCTTCCCCTTGTGGGGAAGATGACAGCCCCATGAGTGATTAAAGAACAGAGCATGACATGGCATAATGTCTTAACACTGCAAATGAAGTGCTTGAAAGAGAGCTACAAATGCAGTTTGTACATGACATGATGCCTCAGACAGGGGCTCTTCAAGCAGTACATGCTTCCCTTGTCCCTACAAGCATTGTTTTGGTGGCAGGTCCAGGCTGTAGGGAATTTTTTGGGACTGCTGAGGGCCAGTGACTGGATCTCAGTTGTGGTCTGTTGTCCCCAGTGCATCCACCGTGACCTAGCAGCCAGGAATGTGCTCATATCAGATGGACGAGTAGCCAAGATCTGTGACTTTGGCCTGGCTCGGGACATCATGAATGACTCCAACTATGTTGTGAAAGGCAATGTAAGTAATTGAAATGGGCACAAGAGAAGGCACAAGGGTAGGAGGGGCTGGAAAGGACAGACAGGGTGTAGCATAAGCTGCCAGCTTGTCCCAGTCTGCAGGACTCTCTGCTCTTCCAGGCCCGCCTGCCCGTGAAATGGATGGCCCCAGAGAGCATCTTTGACTGCATTTACACAGTGCAGAGTGATGTGTGGTCTTACGGCATCCTGCTCTGGGAGATCTTCTCCCTTGGTAAGAAAGCAAGCTTGCAAACCCCTTTTGTTTTCTGTGGCTCACTACTGCCCTAATGTACCTGCAGAAAAATTTCCAAGAAAGGAGGAAGGTTGACAAAAATCTATTTTATCAGGGCTGTAAAACACTGTGTTATGTTTCCAGAGGGACCGTTCAAAACAAAGAATCCCACATCATTTCCTCTAACTCAGACCTCCCTGGTGATGCTCCAGGCTGCCTCTTCCCACCCCTCAAGGCTGGAGTGTTGAACCCTGTGGTCTGAGAGCCACCTTTCCTTTTCCTGTCACAGGGAAGAGCCCCTATCCTGGCATGGTGGTGAACAGCAAGTTCTACAGCATGGTGAAGCAGGGATACCAGATGGCCAGACCTGACTTCGCTCCCTTGGAAATGTGAGTGGATGCACTGAGATTCACACAGCAGTGAGAGGGGGGCTGGCAACAGGCAGGGACAGGGGACAAGGCACAGGGACCTTGTCCACAGCTCTGCCTGCTCTCCCTGGTGTCTGCCTTGGGGTGAAGGATGGATCCTATCAGGCTGCTCCTTGCTCCTGTAGAAAACAAGGCCTGGGGCAGTTTATCCAGCATCTCCTGTTTAGGGACAGGAGGATGGGAACACTCACATTACATATCTACATTTCTGAACTTGGTGGGGGTTTCTTCTTTTTTTAGTTAGCTTTTTTTGACTGTATGATTATGAGAAGATGAGCCTGAGTAGGCTACAGGAGGTAATGAGTGCAAGCCTGAGGTCTTGATGGCATAAAGCTTCTTGTTGATTAGTTTGCTCCATCCACTGCAGTGCTCACCATTCCCTGGAGCACTGCACTCACCAGGGGTTTTTTGGAAGAAGGGACTGCTCAGTTCTGTGTCCCTGACATGCAGAGTGCTGCAGGGAAAGCCTGGGGCTGCAGACCCTCCAGCAGCACCATGCCACCTCCCTGTCCCTGTGTGGCCCTGCAGGTACAGCATCATGCAGGCGTGCTGGAGCCTGGAGCCCACACGGAGACCCACCTTCGACCAGATCGGCTGCTTCATCCAGAAAGAGCTGGAGGTGCATAAGGAGCAGGTGAGGACCTCTGGAGAGAAGGGGGAGGATCTTTCTCCCTATATGAACACAGCCTCTGGACACATTTTGTGTGATATCCCCTACCATAAGCTGATGGGAGCAGTGTGGTGTTGGTGGGAAGTGCAGAGGTATCCAGCTGAAGGGTTCAGTCAAAGAGGGCTGCACAAGGAAGCACAGCTTCTTGGCAGAAACCTCAGTGTGACAGCCATTCATGCACTGCCAGCACAGCACCCTGCCCCATTCCCCTGGACCTGCCGTGCACTCTCTCAGGACCAGCTGTTCACAAAAGCACAGGCCCTAGCTGTGAGCCCTGCCCTGTGGGCCCAACAAAGGGTGGTAATGCAGAGTGAGCACATCCCCAGCTGGTCACCCACATGGGAACAGGTGTCAGGCATCAAAGGGACCAAAACACACTCAGGGTGTTGTGTTTCTTCCTTTTCTTTCAAGGACTACACCAACCTCCCCTCCAGTGCAGAGGAAGACAGTGGCTGTGACACCTCTGGCTGCTGTGAGGAGTCCTGCGAGCAAGAGGAGAGTGGGCAGCCACTGCTCAAGGGCAACAACTACCAGTTCTGTTAGGTGGCACCTTCACCCTGGGGCTGATCCTTGTCCTGGCTCCACAGAGCTCACCCTAGGACACAGACACCTTCTGCTTTGGCCTTCTCTGTGCTTGCTGAAGTGTGGGTGTTATGGACTCTCTCACCAAATGGAGAGTAAAGACACCTTGGTGTTCCAGAGTCTTATCCCACACATGGCATAGAGCTGTCAGGATGGTAACAGGCTCCATCTCTGCAAGGTACACAGAGGTCCCCAGCAGCCACCTCCCCATGCCCCAGAGAAGGCTGTGGGAGTTGGGGTTTTGTAGTTTTTTTAAAAGTACTAGTCACAGCCAAGTAAGACATTTCCAAGTGTCACTCACATTACTGAACCCTTGAGTTTTTTAAGAACATCTTGAAATATGTCTTAGCACTGGAACTACTCCACACACTCCCTTTTTTTGATGGTTCTGCTCTCTTCCCTTTGTCAGTCTGACCCTGGACATTGCAGTGTTTAGAAATAGGTAAAGCTTCTACATAGCATTAAATATGCATTAACCCTACAGTTCCTTGTGCAATCCACCTCTCTGCAGCTGATGCTTCTGCAGGGAGTGTTTGGGTGAAGTGAGCCACAGAGCCAACCCCAGGGTTATGTGAACTTGTGCCTCACTAACAGGAGAGGACAGCTCTTTCTCAGGTAAAAGACAGCAGAAAACAGTGCTCTTCCATGAGAGCCCTGAACACAACCCAATCCAGGAAAGAATGGCAGCTTAAAGAGGTCTAGAAATGATCAGCATTACACATATCCTTCAGAACTTCTGAGTTACTGAGCATGTAGCAATCACTGCCTTTGTCACTATGACAGACTTGTACTAAATTTCCTTAATGTACTTTTAACAGTACAGCTGAGGTGATTTTTTTCATAAGCTAGGGCCTAATACACTTCAACCTATTTTCTCAGCTAGCTTAGGGTTACTACTGCCCTGGCCCCTCAGTCCTGTGCACCTACCAGAAGTAGCTAAAGAACCTTCTCAGCTTCACCTGACTCGGTGGGTAAAGGATTTCTATTCCAGGTACAGGGAAACTGCAACTGACAGGGCTCAGGGAAACTACAACTGCACTGCAGGTGGCCTTTGTCACACTCTGAGCAATTTCACTGTGGGCCATTTCTGATTCTATTAAACCTGGTTTTATGCTAACACCAAGTGATTCATTCTTCCTTACTAAATGAAAAGCTAATGTAACTCTGTCAGCATTATAAAAAATAAAATATGTTTAACCAAATGAGTCTCTCCTAGGGCTCTAAGGACTGTTCTCAGAGGGGAGCAGCTCAGAGCAGGGGTGATGCACTGGCCTACCCACTCACCCTGCAACTCTGTTCCTCAGTACCAGTTCTCAAAACCACTCATTCTTGTGTAACACAAAAACCGATTAAAAGCAAGGTTTTAAAGCTCTGAAGTAGTCCCTGTGCATGGATATAATGGAATGTAATTTCAGTTGTGATAATGGAACATCTGACAAGTCACCATGTGGCACATGGCAGCAGTCTCTGGGGCAAGTGCAATGGTAAAAGCAGGCCAAATGCAGAAGAGATTCAGCAGTGTTTATGCCTTTTCTCCTGGAGCCATCCAGGTCTTGTACACACACACACACAAAAAAAAAAAAACCAACCCAAGTCACTTGACCACAGTTTCACCCCCAAAATTGGAGATAATTTATTAAACTTTCTCACTGACTGAAAAAAGTCACTAATGTCTCTTATAATAAGTTAATGTTCTTAACAGAAAAACCCCAAGCCATGATTACTGCATTTGCTCAGACTCAATACATTTACTTTAACAGTACGGTACTCAATAAGTTCCCCTTCACAGAAGGGAGTTTTCAACCACACTGCAAGCCTCAGAATCTTCCCCACTGCTCACTCAGACAAAATAAACTCCCAAGATGGCAACTTTGCAGTCTGGCATCCTACTTGTTTCCTATGTGTGTCACAGCAAACACCTTTACCACCAGCCATGGGCAAAGGGAGCTGCAGCAGCCACAGCACAGCTTTGCACCCACAGCCCCAGGTGTTCCTCAGGTGTGCTGCACAGGCAGAGGTCTCATACTGACTCCTCTCAAGGGGCTAACAAAGCAACCTGGGCAGCAGGAGACTCCTCTAACCCCCAGAGTGCTGTGGGAACATGGGCAGGGCAGGTGTGACACCTGACAAAGTGATGAGTGCAGCTCTCCCAGCACATCCACGCGAGCAGAACCCTGCTCGCTCTGGTGACACTGCATTCATCATTCCTCCCTGATCCTTCAGACAGTGTTTGGACGTCCCTCCCCTCTCCACAGCCACCCCCTGCACAGCACTTAAACCATCCTCCAACCCCTCAGCTGCCCTGGGGCTCAGTTCTTACCTTACTATACAGAACACTCTCCTCTCACTGTACCTTTTGGCTTCTAAATTACTAGTGCTCATGTGAAGGGACAAACAATTCTAGAAACTCCCTGCAGCCAAAGCATTCACAAACCTGGACCAGGAGTGCAGCCTCCAGGGAAGCTCCCCAGATACAGCACGTTAAAGCAGCACAGCTCCTCCTCCTCATGACTCCTTGCAGCCAATGCCTGTGAGAGCTCTGCAAGTTTACCAAGCAGGAGTCAGTATCCTAAATTCACCTATTCAGAATGTTTTGGGGGAAGTCGTTGAAGCCATTTACCATTTACACCTGGTCCCACACCCCCAGCCCTGCCACCAATAAGCACAAAGAAGTCAGCAAGCAAGATTCAGAATTAAATAACCTGTGTGTGCTTGACCACGCACACTCCCTGCTACCAGCAACTCCTCTGCAGGGAGGGCAACATCCTACAGCCCTGAACAGCAGGTCCATCACATGCCTTGGAGGCAGCTGCAGCCTTCTGCAAGGGGGTGACAGACCCGTGTGCACAGCAGCTATCACGATCCTATGGAAGCACAGAGCTCTTTGGTCAGTAACAGCAGTCAAAGCCACCAGCATCACATCTCCAACCTGTGGAGGTTGATAAAATAAAAAATAAACTCTCAAACCGGACAGCTGCAAAAGCTGGCTCAGCCCACCCATCCACACGACGACCAGAGAGAGAAACTAACTCAGTAACCTCCATCCTCCTCCTGCTTCACCTCTTCCTCCTCCTCCGCCTCCGTTTTGATCTGGGCCACGCCGAGCCGGTAGAGCGCGTCCCGGATCACCACCTCCCCGGGCTGGCAGCTCTGCACGATCTCCTGGATCTGCCGGTTGACGATTTCCCTGCTGGTGAGGAAGTCCATGAGGCGGTTGTAGAGGTAATAGTGCGTGGGGTTCTCGAAGGCGATGGGCCGCTGGCGCACGGTGCTGGTCCTGCTGTCGCCGATGGCGGCGGCGATGGCGCCGTAGGGCTCCAGCTCGCGGCACAGGGCGATGCAGCGGTGCCGCGCCGTGGCGTCCCAGGGGCTGCTCTGCTCCGCGCCCGCCTGCACGATGCGGCGCGCGCACGACTTGGTGACGGGGTGCTGCAGGGAGGGCTCGGCCACCGTCACGTCTACGCTGTAGTGCTGGTCCAGCAGCTCGGGGCAGGACACGTACTGGGGGAGACACACAGCAGGTGGAACAACAACTTCCCCACAGCTGAGGAGATAAAAGTACTGGCTGGCCAAACTCCAAGCAACACTATGACCCAGGACAGATGGAGAGCCTGATGATCCAGGCTTCCCCTACATGCCACAAGGATGGTATGTACACTCCCTTCTCACTTGTGTGCCCTCAGATAATCCCAAGGCACTAGGAGCCATCTTTCTCTTCTACTTGTCAAGGAATAGCAGTAGTCTGAAAGAAGTGAGTTTCTGTGTCAAAATAAGTGACGTGCTCCAAAGTTCGTGATCTGAACTGCTACAGTGCACTCCCAGCACAGCTCTTCCTATTCTAAGGACAATTATTCAAACACCAGGTGTCTCCAGGCAACACCTAATACATTCTGCTATGCTTAGGAGTGATGCCCTGGCAAAGCTTAAATAAGGAGACACTTATTAGGTCAAATTCACTCCTGGCAGTGCTCAAAACCAGGCTGGATGGGGCTGTGAACAACCTGGCCTAGTGGAAGGTGACCCTGCCTACGGCAGGAGGCTGAACTGGATGAGCTTTGAGGGCCCTTCCAACCCAAACCATTGTGTGATTCTACAAAATTATCTCAAGCCACAATGCAAATTACATATGGGGGGGCCAGTGTTAACTTTAATCTCCCTGGCAGCTTTTCCATGCTGGACTGGCACAGCAGAGAGCAAAGACATAACTAACCATTGGAGGTTCCATGGGGTCAGAGAAGCAGCCCTGGTTCTTCCCCCACATCTGGGAAGTCAGGCCAGGCCAGCAGAGGTCTGCACACAGTGCCACTGAAGAGGCTGAATCAACAACATACACTGGAGGCCAGTGACGTGAGGATACCAACAAGTCCACGTGATCCCGAGCATTTTCTCCTCTTACTATGTACTTGGAGCCACACACAACCTAGAGCAAAGAAAGGATTGACATCAGCAGCACAATAAAATTAAAAGCTTACAGAAAAACAATCTAGTCTTAAAAAAATCCAGCTTCCTTTCACTAAGCAGACAGCTACTTTCTCTAAAGATACTCTGTTTCCTCCTCATACACATTCACCTTGCCATGGGGAATTCTCCAAGCCCTGAGGAACATGTTCCATTCCCAAGGCTCAGAGAAGCCCATTCCATTGCTTCTATTCAATGAGGAAGTTCCATGCTGTTAAGTCAAATAATGAATAGCCAAGGAAGAAAAAATCCACTGTGGCTCCAGTCTTCCCTACCTGATGTGGACACACTTTGTAGATTTTCCCTCCTGTGTGATGAGCAGAAGATGGTGTAATGCTTGTCCCATTCTGTACAAACTCATAGAGAGCCAGGAGGGAGTAGCAGAGCTCATCCTAGAAAAGACAGGCCCCAGAGAAAATTACTAAAATTAACAGATTCCTGCAGAGAGGGAAAAGGCAGCATGCAAGGTCTCCCAAATCCTAATTTGCACTTCATCCAATAACTTCCTAATCCCACACTCAGCACTGTGAGGATGACAACCAATTACACAATGCTGAGCCAGTGACAAGGTAATTACAGGCTTCCTTTCTTCTAGCCCACAAAGGTTCAATTTATTTCACCATGTGTAAATTATCCTATAACCTGCTGGCACCCATCCCTGCCCTTAGAGCAGTCAGATGAGAAATTAATTGTCTAGGATGGCAAGAGTGGATGAGGGAAAGACAGTGAAGAACAGCTCCACTCCTGCAGGCTTGTCTGTGGGCAAACAAGCCATTACCTTGGTATGTGATGC